TGTTTCCATGTATCTTTGGTAGGCAATTCCAAACAACATAATGATCAAAAATAAATACTGAAAAGAGAAATCCAGGAAGGCCAGATGACACCACAAGAAATACGTTAGGGTGAAGCTTAATCTTTTAATGTCATCCAGCACTCAGAGTAGTCTGCCTCTGACCTAAGACCTGTTACTTGACCATATTAGGTGATCTCAAAGTCCTCAAAGACATTAGGCTGGCATATTTTGTCTGTGTTTACAAGCATGTCTCTGGCCAGAGCAAATGGAAGATGGCTATGGTATGTATTCTGCTCTGGTTAAGAGTCTCCCAGACATATATAAGTAGCAATTTGCTAGAGATTAAGACTTGCTGAAATCCAGTGGGGGCAGTTCTTATGATGTCTGTGCCACTGCCTTGTAAGGGAATGGTCATTTGTATGATTTAGCAGCTTCTCTCAGAAACATATCCTTTTGTGAATTGATCACTTCACATTAGACCACATTTTGGAAGCTGGCCTTGCCAAGTTGTAAAGTTTTGTGCATTTGGATTAAGGGTCTTGTCAATTTATCACCAATTAGAACCATCTGTGAGAATTTTTGTAAAAGTACTGGAAAAAAAAACAGTTTCCTGTTGTGTATCACTGAGCGAACAAAAACAAACCAAGAACAAAAATCACCCATAATTCAGTAAAACCAATATAGGTGACATGGGGTTCAACTGAACTTTGGCAACAGCGTTGAGACAAGGGCATCTTGAGCCACAGAACCAAATTACGAGTCACCCTTAAAATGGCCAGGATCCAAAGTGTTGTACTAGCAGATCACCACACCTCGGAGGGCATGAAATTCTGATCAAGTGACACACTTCCTCACCAGGCCTGGCATTTTCAAAACTTGGGAGGGACTTGCAGAGTCCAACTGCACATCACAACAAAAGAATTTTGATTCCTAGGTTTTTCACTATGACAATATGTGAACTGCAATATAATAGTAGGTAGCAGCCATTATAAACGTTTAAATGAGACTTTCTTTAGTAGAAATGTTTCCTTGGTTCTATTACATTTATTACAAGTTATTTTTAAAAAAAAATGTATACACACACATTTCTATATCTATATAAAGAAATAATTGTTTTTTAAAAAGCAACCCGAAGCTATCTTCCCTTCTCAGCAGCATCTGGTTCTACCTACAACCTTATTTATTTATTTATTTATTTATTGCATTTAACCTTATGCCCTGGTGTTACTCTATCAATAGTTTCTTCTTCCTAGCAAGCAACAGTCAGTGTTGTGGGAGGATGACAAGAAAAACACGGCAGTGACATCGAAATACAAGGTCAGGTGCACTGTATAATGTGAAGAGGGTTAGAAATTAGGTTGCTTTCTTCATCTGGAACCCTAAATTTTTGATAATGTACAGATCTACCTTCAAGAGCAACTGGTAACAATGCGAGATTCTGTAGTTTAAAAGGAAATCACAATAGCCATCATCTCCCACTGGACACACACACACACAAAGCTTTGGGCATATATAAAACAGCCTTTTGGATACTTGCCAACTAGCCGCTCAGAGTGGTATAAATATACCAGATGGGCGGGATATAAATCAAATAAATAAATAAATAGAAACTCAGTACTGAGGCTGTTTTTCAGTGGTGAAACAGGCAAGCAGAGAGTGTGCTGGACAGATTTCTTGAAACATGCATTTATTTTTGAGTTATATATGTATTTCCTTTCTCAAGGGTTTGCTCTTCCTAACTATTTTGTGAGCCAGGGCAAAACGGAGAGGAACTGTGGGGTCCAAAGCCATCCTGTGAGCCTCATGGTTCAGGAGAACTAAAACCTGAATCTCTGAAGTCCTACTTCAACACTTCTACAATGACACAAAACTGTGGTGTTACACTTCAGATTACCATTTATGACAATCTACTCAGATTATGGTGCACCTGATCAGGCGGGAAAAAAACATACAGTGTCTGAGGTGCTTCACACTTAACTGAGATGTCCAATGCAGGGGAAAACTAAATACCTTGGCACAGATCTCACCTGGGCAAGTCTCACTTTTAACCTCAGTTTATGAACAATACCGGGGGAGGGGGGGGGAGGAAGGACACTGCTAGACTTGCAGAACTGCAGCAAGAATGATGAACAAAACCTGTTACGACATTCAAAAGCACACCACAAACCTCGTTATAAGTGCCTACGCACCACCTTTCTCCCTTTTTTCCTGGGTCTCTTTGTACAGAGTAGTCAACCTCTTACCTCTGCTCCTTTTTCCAGCAGGAGTTCGATGCAGTCGGCGTCAGCAACCATGCAAGCGCAGTGCAACGGCTTCAGGGTGCCGTGCATGCAGTTCACATCTGCACCCTGGAACAGAGAGAGGTGGAAGTGAGGGAGGTTGAGCAACTCTATCCCTTCCTCATTGCTGCTGTAAGCAAACCTTTGCAACACACACACACACCTGGAAATAGCAAGAGATGCTGAAAACGAAGGCTTCCTGTTTACACTGCTCTCCATGACAAAACATTAAAATACCAAGTCTCACCCATGAGAAGCCTGTATATTTATTGCCATTCATGTCACTGTTAAGTATTATTGCCATAACATCCCCAAAACAGATTAGAAAAGAATAGAGAGAACTTTTGTACCCTAATGTTTCCCACCTGCACTGAGCAGGGGAGTGGACTCGATGGCCGTATCGGCCCCTTCCAACTCAATTATTCTATGACCTCAGTTTTTAAAAGTTGAGGATGACAAGAAGGGCATGTCCTTTCCCCATCAAACTGAGCAGGGGTGGCCAAAGCACACACACCCCCGTGCAAATTCAGTGGCGACGCTGCAAGGGCAGATGGGGGGTGGTGGCTTATTGTGACTTTAAGCCCTTAACTGTGAAGGCACACAAGCAAGACACATAAATGGGCCCTGCAATTTATGTCTGCATTTGGTAGCTAAAAATAATTTGTACTAGCCATCAGGAGTACAGTGAAAATGTCACTGAAAACAGAACACATTTTCTTTTCTACAGGGAAAAAAAGCCTGTTGTGAACTTAACTGCCTAGTTTTTGTCTTTTTTTTAAAAAAAAGACTCCTGCCCATGCACTCCACCACCCTAAAAAGTGCCCTCCCCCCTCAGTTGCCTCTCCTCCCCTTGTACCTCCACTCTATTAGATTATAACAAACATTACACCTTGTTTAGATTTATGTACAGCACCATCACATTCTTCTAACCACTCCAGAATTATTATTCTCTGGTAATGTTGAAGTCTAAGGGCAAAATAAGAAAGGTACTGGATGACATCTTGGCTGTACTCAGCTTCCATCCAGTTTTTGGCCCAGTGGCTGACTTACCGTCTCTGTAATGGCCTCTTGCATAGTAGACAGCTGGCAATTAATATAGCAATGCAGCTGTCAGTTTCAATCCAGCCCAATGTGGGATCATCCGTCTAAAAGCTGAGCAATCAGAAACTGAAGCAGCCTTTGCTTTGCCCTTTGAGCTAAAGAGCATTTGCGCTTTCCTTTGAAGATGAGAAATATCACACTTAAACAGGCTTGAAGAACTATAGCTTTTTAAAGCCCTTGCCTGTCTACTCCATACATAGACCAATCTACTTGCCTCTGTCTTTTTTTAGGTAGTCAAGATCTACAAAGTATCGCTTCACCCCAATAATGTTACAATAAGGGGGAACCTACTGACCAAGGAAATTGTTTTAAAGTTATTCTCAGTGTGCCCCTTTTGCTATATTTTATCATCAGTATACAGATAAAAATTGTCTTCAGAGCAATGAAGAGGAACGAACCCAAAACTAGATAGTTCCTTGTCCCATACAGAACAATGGGAAGGGCTGTATTAGGAGAAAAATGTTATAGTATGAAAGAGCCCCATGGAGCAGATAGGCCCTCTTTTTCTACCTGATGGCAGTTACAAGGCCTGCAAGGAAGACTGGCAAGATCTTACTGTAGATATACAGAGTTCATCTGTTTCCCTTCCCTGCTTGTCACACTTAATGGCCACAATCTGACTGGATTTATTTGGCCATGTGCAGGAGGAATCCTTGAACCTGCAGCGGCTAATTGGCAAGGTGCTGGGATGTGATCGGACCAGCAACCAGCACCTTGTCAATTACTTGCAGCAACTTCTGCAGCTACTCTTGTACGTGTGTAAATATCCAGTGGGATTCTGGCTATGAAGACTACCAAGTCCAGAGAGGAGCCCATGCCCGTGCCCATCCCTGCTGAACTTCATTCATTTCTCACCACTGGAAAGACTATCTGAGGCTGATGGAACTGGGATTCAACTGAGAAACCTATCTACTTTTTTGGAGCATAATAAAAGTTGGGCAATCCCAGTCAAACAGACTGAATTGATCCAAGCAACTTAATGGGTTTAGCTTTCAAGTAAAAGCTTTAATAAAATAATAAAAAAGATCAAGCTTCCAACAGGAAAACACATTATGTTATCTACAGGATACAAATGGCACCCTAATTGCATTGCATATGGCTGGAACCCAACTGTTTCTGGAGAAGTACAGGTTCTCCAACCCTGGCATGGAGGCCCAAGGTTGGGGACCACTGATCTACAGGATACAAATGGCACCCTAACTGCATTGCATATGGCTGGAAACCAACTGTTTCTGGAGAGGTACAGGTTTTCCAACCCTGGCACAAGAGGAAACAGAGGCTCAGGGAAACTGCTGCCTAGTACCATTTATGTTTACATGCTGCAGAGCCATGTAACTACCGTATTTTTTGCTCCACGAGACGCACCAAATTTTTAGAAGAAAACAGGAAAAAATAATCTGTTTTCTTCTCCTAAAAATTGGTGAGCCTTATGGAGAGGTCCGTCTTATGGAACACACCCTAGGACCCTTT